CCTTATTCAGGGGGGGGGGGGGGAGTGGGGGCCCCGAGTCTCGACATGCAGAAACATTTTAGATTTGTACCACCCCAGGCACAGCAGCAGACATTCTCTGGCCTACAGAAGATACCTATATTGCTAGAATTCAAGCTTTAAAAACAAATCTAGACGCCTTGATGGCATTGTATTTGTATGTTTAGTCTTTGTTATGTCACGTATGTTGCCTGCCAAGTCCTTGATGCCCTCTATCCTATTTTCCAACAAACTGCTTTACCGTGTAATACAATCTGTCTTCTGGAAATGTTTACAAGTACAGTTTAAGTTTCTGCTTGTCCACATGAAGGTCAGGACAGTAGATTAGGATAGCTGGAATATTAACGAGGCTCATTTCAAGGTTTCACTTTTTTAATGAGTAGGATGTTTTAAAGTGCCACAACTTTGGTTTTGTAGGACGACAAAAACTTTAGTATTTTTCCACTTTTACAGTCAAACTTGAAAAAAAAAACCCCTCTGTGTTCCTATTCACACAGCGTACTGACAAATAGATCATTAAAAAATATATATTTCTTACCTTTTTTCAGTGATTTGTCCTTACAGAAAGACTAGGAATTAAATTTGAAGATTGTGTTTCTCTCGTTAACTTCATTAGCGTACAATGGAGAAGCCCCTCAGCCTTCTCTAACATTACAAAAGAAAAAGAAGCAAGTAGACACTTTTAGTAGACATTTTTAACCCTAAAGAAGCCAAGAAAACCTAGCCCAAGTAAAAGCAATTTAAACCGCAAAGAGCATAAAAAAAATCTATCTATCTATCTATCTATCTATCTATCGCTTATGCTATGTGAATAGGAACATGTAAGGAATAGGTGTTATCCCAATTTGGCAGCAAAAGTGGAAAAACAGTTTAAAACTCTGAGCGGGAATTTTAGAAATGCCACTTCCTACCTTCCAAAAATGTAAATTAAAAAATATATTTATTATTTTATGATATATTTAAATTTTTGTTTTAAAATGCAAGTTGCCTGGGTGTCATACTGATCCAGTTTATATGTCTAATGCTACTGCACAGGCTTTCTGACCAGCCATTGGGAAAGTTGGAACTCCTGAACGGCAAGCTTGGTGTGCACCAAGGGACTCAAAGTAATGAATGCAGTAGCTAAGCATAAGAGCCAGGCAACTTGTATTTTCAGAAGGAGGTCAGCTGTGAGAGCCAAGATACATCAGTTAAGCACAGACTTCCTTTAAAGTGTAACTCCACTTTTGTTGGAAAAAGAACAAGACAATCCATATTCTATACAA